AAATCTCTGCGGGGAGTTCGATCCAAAGGGCCGGAGCTGCCACAGGGAAGGCCCTCCCCCGGGTAGTAGCCAGATGGCCTTGGCTGGGAGATGGAACCCAGAGGAGGCCAGCCCTGTGTGATCTAATGGGTCTTTGGGAGGTAATTGGCAGCAGGCGGTCTCTCAAGTACCCAGGTCCAATACCCCTTCTTCGAGGTCTTTTTGTGCAGATTGGAGAGGGGCAGAAATTCCAACTTGGGGTCTGCTTCAGCCTCCTGGTGTGGGGCTTTGGGCGAAGGCTGGAGGGAAGTGCTGCTGGTGGCAAAGAGCCATAGGGCCTTATTCCAGTGGGACTGCATAATGCCCCGAAACTGGCATACTATCTCAGCGCATTAAGCCTCTAGGCACCGGTACCTGGCCTTGCACTCCCGCACGTCTTCTCTCTGCTTGGAAAGCCTGTGCTCGTAGTCCTCAGTGAGGTGCTTCTGCTGAGCCTCCTTCTTGGTCAAATCCAATTTGAACTGAACTGTCTTGCCAAGTCTTGTGGTGGCCACTTAGCTCCAGCAATTGCTTCCTGTTGGGACCCAGGAGGGCAAGTAAGGAGTGGCTGGGAGGGGAGAGACGAGTAGAGGCTGGTGAGGCGCCGCTCGATGTGAGTGACATCAAATTGGCCACGCCCACCCAGTCACATGACCACCTAGCCACACTTACCTAGCCAGTCATTAGGCAGATTTTATTAGTGGTCCACAGGATTTAAAATTATGAATTTAGTGGTCCCTGGGGTCTAAAAGGTTCGTGACCCCCTGCTCTAGAGCATCTTGCAAAACAGGAGTAGCCAATATTGGCAACTTTAAGACTTATGGACTTCAACTTCCAGAATTCCCCAGCCTAGTCTACCTTGACATTAGTTACTTTAAGACACAGCCTTCTCCTATTTGATCTCAGCTCTCTATTAAGATGTTTCCATGAAATTTGACTCTGAAGGTTTGCTTAATACAAAGTAATGCAGAAAGCATTGAATTTATAATTTATCACTTTCTGCTGTGAGACCTCTAGCTTTGCATTCCAAAATTGCAATAGTCTGTTATAAATGTATGGGTGTCGGATTTCATGGGTGTCAAACTTGCAGGGTCAATTTGTCGTCATGTGACGTTTTGGGGTGTTTTCCCCCTTATCAGAGCTGGGATGGGCGTGGCTTGCACCTAATGGATCCGAGCCATGGGGCGCCAGTTTGACACCCCTGGTCTAAACCATCCTGGTCTACTTCTCTAGTAACTTTAAGAGCACTTTTTTNCCTCCTTGTCATCTTCTTTTTCTCCTCCTCCCTTGTCGTTCTCCTTCTTCTCATTCTCATTCTTACCGTTTCCGTTCTTTTCGTTCCCCCTCCACCACCCCCTGTACCTGTGACATGTACGAATATGTTGTCACTTGCTTTGGAAGACTTAGTCATACTGAAGATTTTTAATGGTGAGAAAATAGATTTTCCGGAATATTCTTTCCATCATGAACTCCAACCTTAGAAGATAAAGACTCTGAACAATAAAAACAAGAAATCCAGTATTTTCAAAAAGAAAAAAAGATGTTTTCCACTTCTCTCAATCACTGGTGAAAAGGGAGCACAATCAATCAGAGAATTGTTCATCCCAGAGATAAATACACTATAGGAGGTGTTGGAGTTTTCATTCACATCTGTCAGCTTTCATTCCAGGCTGAATATTGGATTTGTACTGCAGCTTATGGTTCTTTTCGGGGGGGGGGGCAGGGGGGAGGAAAACCAAATCAGAAAACTTCTCTATTTACTCTGTTATGAACAGCAATGTGTTCTCACCTTTCTTTTAAGATTGATTAGTTTTTAAGGTGCTCTTTTCACACAATATACCCCACCATATTAACTGCACAGGTAGATTCCGGTTAGGTATTCTTTACTCGTAGGGAAAAGAAAATTTTAGCAACTTGAAGGATTATTTGCTAATTGATTTTTAAAAAGCATAAAAATCAGGGTTAACCAGAGATTTTTCTAACTAGTCTTAGATGGGCATAATCTAATATATTTGGAAACGTACCCTGTTCAGCTTCATGGATCAGTCCACATGGAAGGGTTGAGATACCCTCATCTCTTCTTCAAATGTAGAAGGACAAGTTTTCTGGGCTCTGTCAACCCTTCAAGAGAGGAAAGGTCAAGAGAACGATAACACAGGGGATTGCAGAAATATTATATTATTGTAGGGTATAATAACAGAATCTTGAAAGCCTATCAAAGTTTCTGATCCAGCTTTTACTAAACCAAATCAAAGTGAGGTTATTTTATGTTTCTTTCTCATACTTCCTTCAATCTCTGGACTCTTAAATCTCTTTATCCAAAACTTCTTCAACATCTGATCATTCTTGCAAGCCCCATTCCTTTAACAGTTTTTTCAGTGCTGGTGTAACTTCAGTCTCTAAGCAAACTCTTGTAAGTCTAGGACTAGCTAGACTCTTCCACGGAAGCTGAGATTTGGCCTGATCTTCTGTCAGCCTTTCAAAGTATGCCAGCTCAGAAACAGAAACCATTTTTTTTTAAAAAACCTCCCTTTTTATGACCCTGTACTCCCTTAATTTGAGGCAATTTGCGTCAGATTGATTGGATGGAGCTGAGCATTTACTGGCCGGATGCCTTTCCTGACACCATACAGAGTTCACAGCAGATATTTTCTCTTTGTGCCCTAGGAGAGAAACATTTGCCGCTAAGTAACATTGAATTCTCAACCTTCTGAGTGGGAGGTGAGCCTCTTTACTACTAGGCCACCATGCCGCTCTGTATCAGACACCAAATGAGATACTAGAATTCAATTCTACTGGTAATTGGCTGTGGTAACACAGTCTTCAAAGCTTGACAACATTTCTCTTATTCCAACTAGGGTCAAGATAGGGCAATCTGAAGTTTATTTCTCCTGCTTTCCTGTTCTTCCAGGGTAGGTTCATGTTTTACTCACAGTTGCTGCTCACTTCTTCATTTCCATATCCTTCTACATTCCGTTGACTTTTTGGAAACTAATTGAATATGGAGCTGTTCTGGAGGGCTTTTTTAAAATAGTTAAGAAAGAGCTATATGTTGCTTAAGCAAACTCATGGTTTTTATTGTTGTAATTACATTTATCGTAATGCCATGGATGTTTTATTTTCTATAAACTGCCAAAATTCACAGAAATGAAGTGGGCCTCAAATCGGAAGAATAAGCATGCAAATAACAAGAGGATAGTATTTAATTGTGTTATAAAACGACAAGGAGTTTTGTGGCCTCTTAAAAGCTGATTTATAACAACACGGATTCTGCTGGTAGTCTGGCTGATCAGATAGATACACAACCACAAGGCTTATTCACATTTAAAAGAATGCTCATAAAGTTCTTTCTGAGCTCTTCTCCTTCATTGTGGGGTTCTGAGAGAGTGAGGCTGTTTCACACTCCAAGATATAGGCGAAAACAGCAACTTTTGTCAGCTCTCTCCAGTTTGAATTCTGATGTGTTCAAGCAAATGGCCATCTTTCATCTCATTTGCTTTATTTGTGCTTTTTTAAAAGAAAACATTAATACAGGTAGTCCTCAACTTACAACAGTACATTCAGTAACCGTTTAAAGTTGAGCAGCACTGAAAAAAGTAGCTTATGACTGTTTTTTACACTTATGACCATTGAAATCATCCGTGTGGTCATGCGAATACAATGGAATGGAATAGAATAGAATAGAATAGAATAGAATAGAATAACAAAGTTGGAAGGGACCTTGGAGGTCTTCTAGTCTTAGGCAGGTAACCCTACACAACTACAGACAAATGTTTATCCAACATCTTCTTAAAGACTTCCAGTGTTGGAGCATTCACAACTTCTGCAGGCAAGTTGTTCCACTGATTAATTGTTCTAATTGTCAGGAAATTTCTCCTTAGTTCTATGTTGCTTCTCTCCTTGATTAGTTTCCACCCTTTGCTTCTTGTCCTGCCTTCGGGGGCTTTGGAGAATAGTTTGACTCCCTCTTCTTTGTGGCAACCCCTGAGATGTTAGAACACTGCTATCATGTCTCTCCTAGTCCTCCTTTTCATTAAACTAGACATACCCAGTTCCTGCAACCGTTCTTCATATGTTTTAGCCTCCAGTCCCCTCATCTTTGTTGCTCTTCCCCGCACTCTTTCTGGAATCTCCAAATCTTTTTTACAAAGTTCAGATATTTGGCAGCTTACTCATATTTATGACATTTACTATTTCCTGGGGTCACGCAAGCCTTTTGCAACCTTCTGACCAGCAAAGTCAATGGGAAAGCCAGATCCACTTAACAGCCAGGTTACTCACTTACCAACTGCAATGATTCACTTAACAAATGTGTTCAAGACAAGTCATAAAGTGGGGCAAAACTGTCTTGCTTAGAAACAGAAATTTTGGGTTCAATGATAGTCACAAGTTGAAGATTACTGAAGAAAGAACCAAATGAACTATTATTGTACTGTTGTGACTATGGGTATCTGTCAGGTTTCTGAAAGAAGGCCTATTTGATTCATGAGCCTCGACCCAAGTTTCAAAAGATAATCAGTCTTTTATTAGGAGCACCATTTTGGCAATACCGTATTGCAGTCCGATCTAAGCCTCATTTGAATTTTAGCTGAACTTTACTACTGTTCCTTCCCTCCCCTCATTCTGTGTCATAAATCACATTCCCCAATGAGGTGCACCCCTCCCAAGCCTGCTGTGGTAATCTGACTCTAGCCGAAGGTATGCGTGGAATGTGCTGCCCCCCCTCACCTTTCCGCACCATGGCAACTTTATGAATTGACAATGGGTCTATGTGTGTATCTTTATTTGTTTTATAAATAACAGGGATTGTCCATAAAGGCAATGGAGAGAACATATTCATCGCACAGCAGCCAGCAGTGGTCTCCACCGTCATGGGCAACGGGCACCAGAGGAGTGTCTCCTGCACCAATTGTAACGGTCCTTCTCACAGCAGCAAACTCTTTGCACCTGTGGCCCTTGCGTCCGGCACCGATGGGAGCATCTACATTGGTGATTTCAATTTTGTCCGAAGGCTTCTTCCTTCAGGAAACTCTATTAGCATCCTGGAACTAAGGTAAAAATATCACAGGAGTGATGTATTAAAATCTGCAGCAAGGGTATACAAGGGATATCTGTTGGGTCATCTTTCCTCTTTTCCAAAGCAAACAAAAAACACTTTACATTAAGAAAATAACATATCAAAGCATCTTTTGCAACTTACAGTATATATTTAGCTGACTCCAGTTATTCACAGAATATAACAGAGTTGGAAGGAACTCTATATCCTTTGAGACAAATGGCTGTCCAATCTCTTAAGAGTCTTCAGTGATGGAGCATCCACAACTTCTGGTTAATTGTTCCACTGATTGATTATTAATAATATAATAATTACTCATTATTGTCACTTTCTTGAACATATATTTAGCAAGATAAATGTGAATCGCAACACAGAGAAATAAACTAGCTCTTGTATTTAAAGGCTCACCCTACTGTTTCGGTAGGAACTTTTTAAAAAATTTATCACAAAGTTATGGTTTTTATGCAGATTCAATAGGCTGCAGGATGGCTAATATGTTAATTGACTAAAAATATTTATGATCGTTTCTGTTAATATATTTATGTTATTGCATTTTCTTTTGCTTTCTTTTTTTTTTTTTTTACTTTTGCCTCTGCGTGAATCTCCATTCAAGAAACAGGGACACCAGACACAGGTATGAAAATTATGATCTAATGAACAATTACTTCTTCCTCCTTTTTCTCTTCCTCCTCCTGTTCCTCCTCCTCCTGTTCCTCTTCTTCTTCTTCTTCCTCTTCCTCCTCCTCTTCTTCTTTTTCTTCCTCCTTCTCCTCCTTCCTCCTCCTCCTCCACCTCCTTTTCCTCCTCCTCTTCTTCTTCCTCTTCCTCTTCTTCTTCCTTTTTCTACTCCTCCTCCTCCTCCTCCTCCTCCTAGCATATTCCCACAGGTGCAGGGTCTGCTTGGATAACTGTCCAAATGTTGTTCTATAATTAATATTGAGGAAAAGCAATCAAAATTATAACTATCTCTATTGAAAAACCACATAGCAATTTGCCTTGGCCCTTATAAAAATTACCAAGGTGGCTTTCCACCTGGCTAATCTGTAAAACTAATGATAATTTGGAATTATTTATAATTAGAATTTTCCAAAATGTACAAAAACAAGATAGAAAGCAACTGAAAACCTCAGCATTTAAATTTGGAGGAAAGGATAAATTCATACATTGAGGGAAAGAGTTAATTGCTTTACTCTTTTAAAAAAAATGCATACAACTCTGGTTTGTTTGGCATGTTAATGATATGAAAGCTTGGTCCCCACCTTCCCAAGTCTAAAAAATATAGAACATGGTCCTTTCCATGTTAGAGAACATCTCTACCCAGTGGTGGGATTCAGCCAGTTCGCAGATATTCAGGAGAACCGGTTGTGAACTTTCTAAGCAGATTGGAGAACCGGTTGTTGGAAGAAATCTCCTTTTGTTTTTTTCCACTTTACAGGGCTAATACTGTAAGGAAGGCAGGAAGGGAACATTCTGGTGTTGTTTCTAGCCTAATCTGTATTGCCCTGCTTACAGAAATTGCCTCTCCGGTTAACCCTTATTACAATGTAACAGCTAAGGCGAATCACCCATCGATATGAGTGACGTTGAGTTGGCCACACCCACATGACCACATGACTACTGCGCCCCACCTATCCAGCTGGTCATTAGGGCAGAGAACCGGTTCTTAAATTATTTGAATCCCACCACTGTCTCTGCCTATTGAATTTGTTAACTAGAAGTGGATAAGAGCATTGGTCACTGACTTGTAAGACTGTGCTGAAGAAAGTTTATAACATTTTGTAAGTAGAATGATGAGAACTTGACAGTTAAAATAAATAAGTGTGGGGGGAAAGCAACACTGAAAACTTTTCCCCAGTTCTAGCTTCAGGGGCTGATACAGCTGAATAAATCCTTAGATAAAGGATTGTGTGAAAGGCAGCTTCTGAACAGAAGGTTATAATTGGTTCTTCCCATTACCAGTAGAAGCAACAAAACACTTTCTCTGTCTGGCTATTTTCCAATATAATTTGTCTTCCGAGTTTGACTCAGAAGGTTTAGCATCTGTTGCCTCATGGCAGTGATTTTTTTTTAAATGAATACTTATTGGTGAATTCAGGTTTTTTTTCCCCCAGTGGGGGACAAACAGGGAGCTTTGTCTGATGTGTAGAAAATGGAAATGAAAATAAGTGGAGGAATTCATTGTTGAACCAAAAAAAAAAACATTTTGAATTATACTCTATCACAAAGTGGACTCTAGAGCAGCGATCACCAACTAGTAGTCTGTGGACCACTGGTGGTCCACGAGACAATTTTGGTAGTCTGCAGAAAAATTATTTGCATTTTTTATATTACGCTTAATCGGGGGTCCTCAAACTACAGAGCCGAGGTGGCGCAGTGGTTAGGGTGCAGTACTGCAGGCCACTTCAGCTGACTGTTATCTGCAGTTCAGCGGTTCAAATCTCACCGGCTC